TCGCTCTCGGCAGCTTGACGTCATCCTCTTTTTATTTCAATTTATTAAAATCGACGTTATAAGGTCGCGCACGCGTTACACCTTTAACAACGCGTTAATGAATATATATCGAATAAAGTGAAAGTTTGAAAAAGAGAACACTCGAATTTCGAAAAGTAAAAAGCTAGAAGGAAAATAAGACGTTTTATAGCATGAATGAAGAAGCGAACGAGTCATCATGTCATAACGCGAACTTTACCATGACTCTCACTATTACTTGACTCAGCTTCCTCATTTCCGTCTTCCACACAAAGTGGATATTTTATTTTTTTCCTTATTCATTATCTTATTTATTCTATTTTTTTATTTTATTACACAAACAAAAGGCATGTATAAAAAATATCTAAATTAAAGGATCGCGAGCGTCTTTCATTAAAAACTTTATAAACTGTATAAATTGTAAAGCTGTCACGCGCGATGCGGATAATATTTTTGCGTATTATTCGAATAATTTAGATAACTTTGTTGATTATTTTCAGATTTCTCTCAATATACATTTTTCATGAAAAATACTTTCTTCTCTCTAAATTTCTTGATATGTGATTTTACTCTTGAAGCAAGATTCGACTCTAAAAAATTGAGAGTTGCGCAACGCGTGTCACATGGGTAATTTATTATAGATTGTACGTATTTGTGGATCGAACGTTGATTCGACGAACAAAAACCGTCTAGATAAGCGATGTGGGAAATGCGTGTGCGTCATTCTTATCCGCGCGGCGTGAGTCAAATATGTGCGGGCGATGATATACCTAAAAGAAGCTCTTGGATTGGCAATTTATGTTACAGTGAAATCAGCCGAATGTGGGCAATTACGTGCCGACTATATATACCGTTGCTCGCTGACTTTCCTCGGAGCTGTGCTCGCGTTTGCCCCGGCCTTGCTACGGCATTGCCTCTTTCCTCATTACGAAGAGTTTACCAGCTCGGTACTTATAACTGATGACGACGTAGCTGTGACGTGGTTGAGAATAAATGTTTCGAAGCTATTGTCTCGCTCTAGAATTATTAGCATGAAAGACGCTCGATCCTTTAATTTCGTCGAGAGAGAAAAAATGTAGATATTTTTTTATACATGATTTTTTTGTCTGTGTAATAAAATAAAAAAAAATAGAATAAATCAGAATAAAAAGTAGAATAAATAAAATAATAAATAAAAAATAGAATAATAAAAAAATAGAATAAATAAGATAGAAAGAAATAAAAGAGAACACATCGGAAGTTCATTCTACCTATTATCACCGTATAATCTACACATTCGATAATATCGGTGCGGCATCGCCAGCTGTCAAAATTTCACGTGCTGCGTTTGTGCTGTTAGTCGAGGAGCAGGAGCCCAAATGGGGTTAAAGTCCGATTAAGCTGAATCGAAAGTGGGGAAGGAATTACTTTCCTGCGAATTGTGCAAACCGTCGGTGTTTACTTGAGTTAATATACTCATGTGCTGCGCAATATCTAATTTCTATAAAATAAAAATAACAAAAATATTTTCCTGCGTATAAAGAAAAATTTTACAGTCTTTCACGCAACATGTTTTGATATATTTTTTTTAATACGACGTTCTTAATTTTTTGTGCAACATTTATCATCCTTTTTTACACATCATTTAATTAAATACTCCGTTTGCGGAGAAAGCGAGAGAGCGAGGCGAGGCGTTTTGTCAAAGTTAACGAGGAGTCATTCGAGGAGAATCGCGTGTCCGACGTGGTTTTATTCCGCGATGTTTGTCTCTCGTATATAGGATATATCGTTTCCGCGGCGGTGGCGCAAATTACACGAGCGTGGCACGACGAATGCGAGATGGAATTAAACGTCAAGTAATCGACATTTAAAGCCACCTGTCCCTTTCCTTCGTCGCGTGTGGCGTATCGGGAGTAGGAGCCCTACCTTACGTAGGGCGGACCTAATCGCGGCGGACCTCGTACGGATACTAGAAAACGCATAGGGGCATCGCGAATGCGTGTTATACCCCATTCCCCCCTTCTTAACCCCTTCTTCTCCTCGCATTATCATCTCACTTTAGTACTGACCACTAACGTTTATGCATGCAGCTGTTCCGACGTTCGATCCCGCAGTCCCTCCTAAATGAACGATTCTAACGACAAGTCTGTCTTGCATATATGCATGCTGTGTGAATGTTTATTGCAATACTGAAAAAAGATTGTGTATAAAAAAATTTTACTGATGCAATTAAAGACTATATATACCTAGGACGGAAACATGTTTTTGTAAAAAGAAAAAACTGTTTAAAAGTTGCAAAATTTTAGATTTTTTCATGTATTGTACGAAGAAATATATTTTTATTAATGTTATCGTTTATTAAATATTTTTCTATAATTGTGTGCTTGCATATTTCACATATTTTGTTATAAATGCGCTTTATAATTATCTAGAATGCTTTAATATATATAACTTTTTTTAATTGTTTTATTTATGAGAAAATATTCGTGTACAGTCATCTGGATTTTTTGAATATGATTAAATGAACATGTGTGATTACGCGAGCACGATAGTTAAATTTTATGTAAATGATACTTATCAGAGCCCAATAAAAATTTTACTTTTGAATATCTGATGCAATTAATGCTGACGTTTCGAGCATTCTCGAGCACAAGAAATTGTTTACACACATTTCGTATTTTTCTAATTGTCTCAGATAATTTGCTTTCTGATTGCATTCAAGAAAACGATTCCGATTGCATTCTGCGTTGTAAATAAATTATGTTCCATAACGTGATATATATTCATATATCCTTAGCATGTAATTTTCATTCTAAAAAACATTGTATCTTTTAAAACACTTAGCTTAGAATTTTTTGTGTAATAGTTTTCTTCGGTCTTGATTAGTGAAAAAAAATTATTTTATTTATGAACATTTTCATTATTGCTATACCTATTAATGAATTACTTATTCTTTTATTTTCCAACATTATATGTGTGTATACGAATATATTTCAATATATTTCAATAACTTATCATTCAGTACTCGATATCGATAAAAATTCACTAGATATTCGCAATGAAATATATACTTTCGATACTATTTTGGTACGATCCTATATATGCGCGTTCTAATAACTTTTTTTCCGATCGAGACAGTTGACCCAATTCTTAACCTCCTCTGACCCCTTACAACCGATAGGAGAGAAAAAGGTATATTTGATTCAAATAAAGATACTCTGTATCCGAGAACCATTTTAGTCAAATATAAAATAATAAAATCAAATCTTGGAAAAAGTAGATCGATTATTTTGTTAAATCTCTTCCTCTACTTCTGTTTACAAATATATATAAGTGATCATTGTGTACATAATAAGAAAATGAAATTTAAGTAAAAAAAAATAGAATTTAAAGTAAAATTATTAAATAAAAATAAAAACAAGACAATAGATCTAATTTTGCATGCAATTATTAAAAACACTTTCTGATGTTAGTTGCCAATTTTTAATATCTACACACACAAGATTGAATATCTCGCTAATTAAATCCTAAATTGCAATTAAGGATATAGACAATTTTAAATCTTTTATTATTACTAAATTATATTGATCATTCTATACATTTCTTGAATTTAGATAAGATTCTCTCAATTAATCACAAAATTAATCGTTAAAATTAAGATCAAGGTCTATAAAAAAGTTATAAATACATATATATGAAAATTATTATGAAAATGATATGAGATTGTAATTGTTGTGTTCATATTACGATCTTAGTCTGAATTAACAACATGAATTTTGTGAAATTAATTAGCAAGGAAAGCCCTGTACTTCCGCTCCTTGATTGAATCTATAAACTTGACATCTTAATTTTTTATTGAGCGTGCTCAAAATAATTATTAAGATTTAAATATACTCTCAATCTCTTTTTATTTAATGAACCTAATTATAATAATTTGTTACATTTTTATATATTCTCATTCCTTCTTCTTAATTAGAATGACTAATAATAAAACAGATCGATGACCAAAACTAACAATTTAAATATCTTATCGAGTACTAGGGACAGTCTAAAAAAGATTAGATTAGATTATTAATTTGTATTGTACACTGTATACAAACTAAATTATTATTATCCGACATTTATCAATTCTTATACATATATAATATATTAAATTCGTATGTGTATATATATATTTACAAATATATTTCTTTAATATCTATATATTTGATTATTAAACTTTATTTTATTAATTTTAAATCAAATAGATCCTGATTTGTACGTACAAGATAATAATATATTTTGTCATAATATATACGGAGAGAATTTTCTCTTAAAATTTACCCTGAATGAAAATCATGGTAAGAATTTTTCTGATTAAATATTTATTATAATAAAAAACATTAATATGTACATTGTAAAATTAATCGACTATATTATGTCTTATTGTGATAGATATTAGTATTTTTTATTGTGGTGTAAATATTAGTCAGAGAAACTCTTATAAAATTCTTCGAATATTGTCCCACGATTACTACAATTTTTCGGGTAAATTTTAAGAGAGAAAATTCTGTCTCTATATAGAAATATATTATATTACATTACATTACACTATATATTGACCCTTAGTTTCCGTAAAAGCATAAAAGAAAATAAATATATCTTTGTGCAAAATTGTTTCCCAAATATTCCGTGACACAATTCGGATTCATCGATGAAATATTTAATCGAATTGTAATCGATGAAAAAGCGTCGCAATCGAAATCGTGAGAGAGAGGATCAAATTTTCCTGTAGAAGAAATTCCCACCAAATTCCCTCGAGAAGAGTCCGCGATCGAGAGAAAGCGCGTTCTTGGCGCGCGCGCGCGTGCGGGCGCGAGAGAGACACCCCTTATATCCATCGCGTCGCGCGAGAGATTAAGTTCCGTGTCCACGATCGCGTCACGATGCGCCGTCGCGTTCGTGCGCACGCGGCGCCGCCGCCGTCGTCGCCGCTTGCGCGTCCGCCCGAAAGCCAGCGCGACTCGATTCGCGATCGCCATCATGAAAACATTCGCCCGTCGTTATCGTTGTTTCTCCTCCGTCCTTGCGGGCTCCGCGGATTGAAGCGATATCGAGCGTTCGGTCGGAGCCGGGGAACTCTCGTGTGCGAGAGTGCACGCGCGTAAGCTCCCGAACTCTTTTTTTGTCCCGCGGCTCCGGCTACGTAAACCGCGACGTGGTTCGGTGGGGAAAAAAAAGAAAAAAAAGAAAGAAACGAAGAGGAACGGAGTGAAGGCTGCTCCATTCCGTCGTCGCGATTTCGCGGTGCCACGCGAAGTGCGCCGCGAAAGAGAGATTATTAAAACGAGAGCGGAGAGGCAGCGCGACGCGGGAGAAAGAAAGAGACAGGGCGAGGATTATTTCCCTCTTTCTCTCTCGGATCACCACGGTTCCCTATTGTGGCGCGGGGTGTATTCGCGAGGGTCCGCGATAAGGATACGGCCGCCGTTACTTAAATGCCTCGCACAAATTCCTACTCCATGTTGTGCATCGGTTGCGACACGGCTGCGTGTTGGAAAGTGAGTAGTTAATATCACGCTGCGCGATCACGCCTCTCTCGTCGGGCTATCGCGCGGCGGAAAAAAAATCAGATCGCCAAGATGACGTAGTAAAAATTCCTAGGAATTATTTCCTCTCCTCCACTCGTCTCTCTCTCTTTATCTTTCTGTCTCTCGCTCTCGCTCGCTCTTTTTCTTTATCTCTCTCTCATTTTCTTCTTTATCGAATTCTTTTTTTCTCTCGCCTTCCTTCTCTCTCGTTTGGACACAAAAGCACCGTTTTCCCTTTTCTCCTATTGTAATGTCATTTAGCCTCGCTTTTCGGTCATTATCGAGTGTGTCTTGGCCTGTTCGCTTGCAAGAGGACATGTTCCATTGAGAAGATATTTGTGGTCTGACCTTGCATTGCGCAGGAAGTACGATAAATTTATGATACCTTCGTTTTTCGTGTTACTTTACAGCGTGTTAAATGACATTTTCGAAAATTAACTTGTTATTCTTACTTCGAATGCTCGCCAGGGTCACATTAGCACTCAAAGATTGTGTGTTATTATCTGTCTTTTTCTTTTCTTATTTGTAATTTTTGTATGATTTTACATAAAGTGGAGTGAAATAGTTATGTACTCTTATTTGTACTTTTTTGTCATCAGTTAGATGATACGATACATTTTTTATGAATGAATTAACATAGCACTATAAACTTTAATTATATAATTTGCAATACTATTCTTTGCATTACATTGAATTGACTTTGTTACTTTTGTGTTTTTTACACACATGTAATTTACACTGTTGTCTTTGTGAATATATATATAAAGAATAAATAGAGCAATTTTAAATATAAAAAATGTACATGCAAAACATGATAATATCATATTTACACATGTTTGATATAAATTTTGATAATAAGCTGTTATATTAGTATTTGATTTAATTTTTTGCTATTAATTATATATGACTTGATTGTAACAGGTGAGTACATGGTGACACACGGTTGTAGAGGAGCAATCGGAAAGAGAGCTGCAGCGAAGGACATCTAGTTATCCTGCACCAAGCTGACTGTGACTTTCCACTGTTTCTCAAGACAGCGTAATTGCAACTAGGATATAAACGGGAGTCTTCTTGATTGAACAAAGAGTGATACTGAAAGACAAGAGTTATGGAACGAGAGTCTAATCCTATGCAAGCCCTGTGTCGCAGTGGCTGTGGATTTTATGGTTCGCCGGCTACTGATGGCCTTTGTTCCCTTTGCTATAAGGAAAATTTGAAAAAGAAACAACAACCTCCAGTGTCAGCTGCCACTGTACCAACCTCACAGACTGTCTCCAGCAACGCTGGTACGTTGCAAGGCAGTTTTGGTAGTCCTGCAGCTACAGGAACGACGGCCCAACCTACCATTCCTACCATACCTCAGTCAACGTCAGATCTGCCCAGTCCCAAAGAAGTAAGTATTTCCATGTCTTTTCTTATAATTATTCCACACAAACGTAACATCTTTGTTCTTTCAATTAATTTGCAGAAGGTAGCGCTTATAAGCTGTCCTGAATCCACAAGGTCGTATACATCAAATTGTTTCTAGTCTATAAAAAAAAACACAAATTCGAGAACAGCAGAAAAAAAGGAATATTAAATTGTAGAATAAATTTTACAAAATATTGATGTGTGTTACGTAATATAAATATGTTTTCCATCTTTTGCATTGTTATGATAAAGGTGTTTTTGCTTCGGGAGATACATGGACTATAACAACAAATTCCAATTACTTATGCCTTTTTTATTTTTTATAAAAAGAGATCATCATCTGCATTCCAGCAAAAAGATTATGCAATTATATTTAATTATATTGAAACATTCGTCTCTGATAATAAGAACTCATTGAACAATTTGATCTCTCTGTTTTATATATGTTATTTATAACAATTATATATTGTGATATTATAGACAAATATACATAGAAAAATTTATCTATTTAACAAAGTTAATTTATATTTTTATAATGTGTCAACACAACTGTAATACATTTTTTTAAATTAAATTTAAAAGTAAAGTGTAACAAGAAAAAGACTTTAACAAGAAAAATATAATAATAAATAATTACTTGTATTATGCTTACCATATGTTATATTTCTGTTATTCAGGTAAACAGGGAAGATCAGGAAAGCGAAGTAGGTGTAAGCAGTGCAGTAGCTGAAGGCTCATCGGCGAGTAGTGGCGATGTAGACGACTCTTTTGACGGCAAAGAGACTGATAAAGAATCTAAGAAGAAGAAAAATCGTTGTGCTGTATGTCGCAAAAAAGTTGGTTTGACCGGTAAGTGCAAAAATGTAGCATACACTAAATAATTAGTTACCTATTGTGGAAGTTTCGAATTTTTTTGACAATGACTTTTTTTTTTAGGATTTGAGTGCCGTTGTGGAGGACTATTCTGTGCCGTGCATCGGTACAGTGACAAGCACGATTGCAAATTCGATTACAAAGAAATGGGCGCTCAAGAAATTCGGCGCAACAATCCAGTTGTTGTTGGTGAAAAAGTGCAAAAAATTTGAACTATTTAGTGTGTAGTCGTTGGGAAAATGGTTATTATAACTATATAAACAAACAGAATATTAAAAAGAAAATACGAAGAAAACGAGATAAATTATCTGGCAGCTGATTCGCACGTCGAGGGGTGAAACGAGCGAGTGCAAGTTCGAGAGAAAATGAGAGAATGAATGTGAGTGAGCGCGTAAGAACGACAGCAAAATTGTTTTGTAGCTGAATCGTCGAAAAAATAGAAAGAAAAAAATGAAAGAAACGAATATATCAGACAGAACAAATAAACGAAAGATCGTAAATTAGAATGTGTGTGTGTATGAGAGCGAATGGTTCATAATTGGATGCCAGTGCCATGTAAGTCAGATTTGTCATCTAGTGAGAGAATTTTAATTGAGAATATACCTGGTTACTAACTGCTGCCAGCTTACTATTATTATTATTACCTATTATTATCTTCATGATTATTACGGTTTATAATTATTCTATATATTATGTTTATTAATTTACTTAAATGGAAAATTGCGAATATATGAAGCTCGTTTTACATAAAGGCAGAACTCTTGGTGCGGTCAGTCAGTCAGTCCAGGGCGTCTCCTTAGAAGTTTTGGTTTGTTCTAGAAAAATTTTATACATTATACTGTTTCGTTTATATATCAAAAAATAAATAGGGAATGTTGCTTAGGTAATGGCTGACGTTGATGGGTGATCACAATCTTAGGTTAATAATTATAGTCTAATTATTAAGTATATTAGTCTATTGATTCACACATAAATAATGCAATGAAGTATAAGTAGTACTGTGTGTTTATGTCCAACTTCACGTGAATATAACCAGCAATTATTACTCATTAAATATGTTTCAACCTATATTGCAAATAATTATTTACACTGCGGCCGCAAATCTGGGATTTGTAAATTAAACCCCTCTTTAACGTATTCTTCGATTTTTCTTAGATATATAAATGAATTGTTGAAATTGTCTATTAGTTTACTCGTTTTCTTCTTTATTTTTGCTTGTTTTGCGAGTTTTGTAGAATAGCTGCGCGAGGTATTCCGGTGCTGCATAGCAGCGCATAATGTAAGAGTAAATGATTAATAAAAATGTCTAATGAGAGGCCGGGCATTATATGGACGACAAAGAAGAAAACTATTAAACGTTTATAAAGTGTGAACGTATAAACTAAAATCATGCGCGAAGGATATTACATCGATAAAATTTTATAATCCACGTATAACATATATTCTCTATTTTTCTTCTCCGCGCTTAAAATTCGTGCCGAACTTTATTTCTTTTTCTCGCCCATAAATAACTATACATGTTTGTAAAGCTATAGCATGCATTATGTGCAAAAGAGGTGCTATAGCTGTCCGGTTTTGTTGAATTCTTGTATAAAGGAAGATGAGTAAGAAGATGATAAAGCAGCGCAAATGCTCCATGTGTAAGTCAATTCTTTAAGAGCTTTATAAGCGAGTTTTGAACTTTTTTTTTGAAGAAAAAGGAAAAAAATATAAAAAATATATATATATTGTGGTTTCTTAATATTTCGCGTTAAACAAAATAATATGTATATTTTTTCTTTCTCTTATCCAGGGACAAAGCGCTTTATATAAATTGTGCTGCCGTTCTTTTATTTCTTATTTTGTAATTAGGACCTGTCCTGTATATAAAATAGCATATTCTCGTTATTCGCCTAAGATTTATTTTGCGTCGCTTCGAAAAATATGTGTATAGCAAAGATCATTTTTTAATTTCGATAAATATAAAGCGTTCTGTTAAATGTAATCGTAAGATCTATCAAGCGCTGATTTTCTTTCTTCAGAATTTGAACAAATAACAAATATAGTTTTCTCCAGTTACCAAATATTTCACATATCGCCGCCAAAAGTCCTTCAGCCGAAAACGATTTTATTTCTTCGAATATGCAATATCGTAATTAATAACCAATTCGGTCATCCACGTTACATTGCACTAATGGCACATTAAGTGACACTGTATACATGAAATATCTTAATGTAAAATACAAACACTTTGACGAAATTAATTAAGTTTAACTAAATAGTCAATATTATTTTATTAAATAATAATATCATTATTGAACATAAATGTTTATATTTAAATAACATCATGTATACATAGCAGCTTTAAATGTGTTTCAGTGTATATGTTTATGTAATATGGTTGACCGAATTCGTTTAAAATTTGCAATTTAACGATACCTAGAAATTAAGACTGTCGGAAAGATCTTTCGGTATGATCACAATAATTCGATATAACACGATTCTCTTGGCGATTCTTACAGAACGACTTTTATGACTGCACATAGACAATATGTGTACATCTTGTATCGCGATCCATCGTCGATCAATCTGTTTTCGGTTTCTTTTTTGGCGCATTTTTAGGAACGCTGATGAGAGAAATCAGAATCGTGTATAAAAGGAAAAACGCGCACACACACACACACACACAATACACTGACATACACACCGATTATCAGTAATATCGGAATGGTTGCCTTCAGGCCTTTTCATCCTATTTTAGGCATAGCATATTTTTCTAACGTGTATCGCAATATCGGAATAATCTTGCCTAGCGAGAGCGATCGAATGACAGGAAGAGAAAGAGGGAAAGAGTGTTTGAAAGAATGTGTACCTGTATACATGATGGATAGAGATGCTTGCGAGAGTGAGGCAGAGGAATGCGTGCACAGGAATATAAATGATTTATAGGAGATGAGAGAGAGAAAAAAAAAGAAAGAAAGAGAGAACGAGAGAGAGAGAATGAAAGAGAAAAAACAAAAAGATTTATCAGCGACGATCGTACTCGGCTGACTATATAAGGACGTAACACGATGCTTGTAATTATTACGATTGATATTAGTACGTTTAAGCTATTAAAAAAAAGTAACATCAACTTTTTAATATATTATATGATTACAATTACCATCCTTTGAAATGCTTTAGACATTTAGGTTTCACGTACGTAAAGAAAAAAAACGAAAAGTTAGTGTACTCCCATTACATATGTTCCTCTCTTTTTTCCTTTCCTCTTACCCTTTTCCTTCATCCGTCCCTCTTCTTCCTCCTCTCGCTTTCTTCTTCCCAGCCCTTAACGGAGCCCTTTTAACAGTTCTTAAAAACGTTTATAATTATAGTGGACTATATTTATGTATATTTAAAACAAAATATATATAAATGCATCACCCTTAACGAAGGCCGGCAATCGTTTTTTGTGTGTTCTCGACTACTTTATATAGAACTTTAACCGGCACCTCTCTCCGAAGTTATATTGTAGCTACTGTACAAAAAAAATATCTCCCGAACGTTTAAACGAGGTGCGACCTTATTTTCTCTGTAATGAAAAATTTTTGCTGCAATAAACGGTTTATCTTTTATCACGCTGGCTATCTAATGACATCTCGACTGAAATTTATGCTTTTAAACTGCCTTTAGTAAACATAGTAAACGTGAATTTTACATTGAATAAATGTATTTTTGCGCGATATATATAAATCGATTAATGATAACAATCCTGATTTTAACAATTTTCTACAATACGCGATTAAAAAATATAAAGTTGCCCCGCTGATCTATTTATACACTGTGATAAAATATATATATAAAACGAATATAGTAAATAAGCTAATAAAAGAGCCAGACACAGAAAACGGGGCGTAAAAAATTGTTTTCAAAAGTTTGATTATATATATATATATATATATATATTAATATAATTTTTAATATATATACATATATACAGGTTTCGGCAAATCCTTTCCAAATCACATCTTCAGCAACTAATACATTAACAAAATAATATATGTCTTACTTAAAGTAGATGGAGTTATGGTATCATTTATAGAAGAAAACATGCATACGCAAAATTAAAAATTGCATTTCGATTTCCGAGGATCCTCGACGACTCCAGCGAAACTTAAATTTTTAATAAGCGCAATAAGTTTTAATAAATACTAAGTAAGTTTGAAATTATTACAAAAAGCTTTTCATATATATATAAAAAGTCATTTTTGTGTAATGTTTGATTATTTGACCTTTTTAAAGTATATTATACTCCGGAGCTTAATATATCCTAGAAAATTAATAAAAGAACGAGAAATGTACAATAAAAGGAAAAGGATTAAAAAAAATTGCAGGAGACGAAAAGCCGAAGAAATCGAAAATGCAATCGTCAGATCAACTTGAATGTTTGTTAATACAATTATAAATACGATGTTATGATTAAACAGAATATATATATATATATATATATATATAAATAAGCATAAGTAACCGCACAAATATGGGGGAATATGTAAACGAGCGTGATAATTCTATAGAGAAACTCAAAAATATATGTGAAGCAATTGGAAAAAGTATATAGTAAAACAAAAGTAAGAGAAAGACACATATTCGAAACAAATACGAAGCTTACGAAAAAGAGTGGAGGAAGCAATAAAAACACTCTAAATTAATAAATTCTGTTAGATAATTATTTGAAGAAAACAAATTCTCTCCTTCCTTTGTTAAAACTTTCTGTCAAATTAGATTAATAAAAATTGTATAAAACTTTATAATTATATTTACTCGTAAATACATTATGTGGATGTTGGTATGAAATTGAATATCTATATAGTAAAAATAATAAAATTATAAATAAAATTAAATAATAATATATATTAGATAATAATCACCAAAACTCGAAAATAAAGTGATACTGAGATAAATGTAAAAATATATATTCTTTCTACTAGAAATCGAAATATTTTATATATAGCAAATTTAGTTTATATACAATTCACGTGTAACAAATATTTACGATATTTATTTTTTGTTTAATATAAGTCGCTATTTCATTTTGTAAAGTTTGCGATTGATTGTGATGGAGACCGATACATTATGTTTCTATTATGTAAATCTGTATTTCATGACCTTAAAAAGCTCTATATCCGGATGACTTTGTACACATATAACTGCATAATACATATGCATAGAAAAATATGTAAAGATCGATGACGTATCTAACAGTCAGAACGCAAAAATATAATATTCATTGCATTTCTTATGCATACATATATTTATTATGCAATTATACACGCAAGTATATTAAAGATTGTATCTCTTGAACAGTTATTTTGTAAAGAAAATAAGAGTGGATGTTTATACAAATAATTTCTGCGATCATAAAAGATATAAAAACGATTTATATTTATTTAGCGCGATTATGCAGAGATCTAGTGATGTTCGAATAAAAACAATTGTATCGAATTTAAAAATAATCGATTCGAGAGAAGATAATCGATCTTAACAAGAATCGATATATCTCGATGTATTGATCGACCAGTTCCCCTCCCTCAGTCAGTGTGCGAAAACATCCGGCATCTCTAGCTACATAACCACAATAATAGCGATTCTAGCTTTCAACAAGTATTTATAAGGTAAGAGGAGAACTAAGACGTCCTCAAGATGAGGAATGAAATCTAATGGAGATTTTTTTCAGAAAGGTATTCTATTTGATCACGATGTCGATTGGAGTACCTATTAAAGTGCTCCACGAGGCGGAAGGGCACATCATAACCTGCGAAACAAACACCGGTGAAGTGTATCGCGGTAAATTGATAGAGGCGGAGGACAATATGAACTGTCAGATGCAGAACATCACGGTGACGTATCGGGACGGCCAGACAGCACAACTGGAAAATGTATACATTCGCGGCTCCAAAATCAGATTCCTCATACTACCGGACATGCTGAAAAACGCACCCATGTTTAAACGACCGGGTGGCAAAGGCTCGGGGACTGCAGGCAGAGGAAAGTCCGCTATATTGCGCGCACAAGGTTTGTTTTGGCATTGGATTTGTTAATATTTTGTCAAGGTTGATGAAAAGTTGTTAAAAGGACACATTTGTACAAGTGAGATATAGGAAGGAATTCAGTACGATTCAACTTTCTTCAGAGATTTTAAATAAAGAAGTAAAATTAATAGAACCTAATTAATGCTAAGTAATTAATATTCTATTTGTTGCTCAGAATAACTACCTGATTTGCTTAAAGTAACATATGTATAATGTGTGTGTGTATATATATATATATATGTTTATGTTTCTGTAAACATTTGGCCAAGTTCGATGAAAAGTTGTTAAAGAAACACATTTGTACAAGTGAGATATGGGAAAGAATTCAATACGATTCAATTTCTTTCAGAGATTTTAAGTAGAGAAATAAAATTAATAGAACTTAATTAATATTAAATATATATTAAGTAATTAATATATTATATTTTTTGCTTAGAGTAACTACCTGATTTGTTTAAAATGATAAGTTGGCGAAGTTTGTCAGTTTTGTGACAGAATGCCTTAATATAAATATAATATCTATTTTGAAAAAGATACATAGAATAATGAATTTGATTACTTTATTAATTGAAAAATATTTTTCCTAAATTTGTCTCTAAATCAGCTAATATTATTTTATGTGTGCAGCTTTTAAATTAAAAAATGATGAAATGAAACAAATGTATAATATATATATATATATATATATATATATATATATATATATATATATGTTTAATTGTATATTGAAATTTTTTAAAATAAAATTTACACATATTTTATGATTTTAATAAATAAAATTGTTCTAGCTCGCGGCAGAGGAAGGGGACAGAATCAAAGAGGTAAAGGTACTGGTTCAGCACCTTGGCTTAATCAACAGAATCAACCAGGAGGATCTCAAGCTGGCAGAGGTCGAGGATAAATTTTATGCTATATTTTAGATTTCTGAAATACACAAACCTACAATTTCATTCCCATATTTTTATATCATTTCTAAATAATATTTCTGAATACACATTCAAAATTATATTTCTGTATATTATTATAAAATTATATTTCTCCAATAAATTGTATTACAAACTTTATTCATTAAAAATACACTTTATTTTCTTTTTATTTTCTTATATACAATAGGTTTTCAGTTTTATTTTCTTATATATGATATATTATGATATTTTATTCTTTATAAATTCTTCTTTATAAATGATAAATAATGTTGATATCTATTTTAATCTAATTCATGAATAAATAAGACTTTAGATTCTTGTCAGCTTCTAATACAAAAAATAATTGTATTCTGAAAGAACATTAACAATTAAAATGAGCTTTATTCTTATATAGAAAATGTATATTGCAATTTTATATATAATATTTAATAAGAGTGCCAAATTATATTGACGCTCAACATTCTTAAAATACAATTCATTATTTTTGTCATACAGAAAGGCGTTATCTTTAAATTTAGAACTTGGAAATGGTAAATCTAAAATTCCTAGAAAATTCATTTTCCTATTGGCAGAGAGAAACAAGAGAGCGGCCACCGGGATTCAGCGGCCGTGTAGGTATTTTAAGTAAAATAACTAGACTTCTGATGTACTTTTAAAATATCTTTATAAATCGAGAAATGTTTTTAGAGAACAGTTTATTAAAGAATAATATATAATGGAATGATGTTATAAATAAAACATAATCTGCTGAATAGTTCGGAAATGAACCATATTGCGGAATCGAACCATTTACCGTGCTTTTTACCGAGCGTCACGACGTAGTTTATGTCCACTTTGTCAGGAGGCGCACATATCGTTCAAATTTTACGCTGTTATTTATATACACGTGCTGTAACCTATAAATATAATTTATCTATTGTATACTTGGTTGTAAATTGCAATAATGTTTAAAAAATCTCAATTATTTGATGTAAATAAAAAACCTGGTCAGCCAAAGAGACGAAAAAAAATCACTCTTGTTTTTGATGAGGAAAAACGACGGTAATTATCTTTATTAGATATTTGTATAATTATTACACGAGTAAATTATATATTTATGCAATTACAGAGAATTTTTAGGAGGGTTTCGTAAAAGAAAATTAGAACGAAAAAAGAAAGCTCAGGAACAGTTGCAAAAACAATTAAAAGAAGAACGAAAAAAAATTAAACAACAGGTAAGTGCCAAATATTAAACATTTGTTTTTTTTAAATAGTTACAGATAGTACATGTGTTTTTTCATCAGGCACGAGAACGTTACAAGAAATTATTATCACATCGGAGTGTCCCAGAATTAGAAGAATTATTATCTAAGCAAGAATATGATCTGGAGGGTCATACAGTCAGTATTTTGGAGTTAAATGTTGCGGATCTTGCAGAAGGAAGATGGATAGGTGAAAACAAGATTGCGGAGAAGAATGAAGAACAAGATGATGAAAGTGAACATTCTAACAATGATGACGATGACATTGTGGGAATGTCATTAGAAGAGAAACAGAAGAATTCAATACAGCAGAAACCTGAATCTGATAGTCAACAGATTAAATCTTCGAAAGAAGTGAAACGGGAAATAAAGAAAGCAACACTAAAGCAAATTAAAAAGAGTAAGGTATTTAAACAAAAGCAGAGACTGGAACAACAAAAAAACAAAAAACAGAGTAGAAAAAAATTATACAATTCTCAGAAGGTACTAAAACAGGGTAAGCGAAGTAAAAAGAACTCAAGGCACTAGAATATTTGAAAAATTTGCTGAATATATTTTAAATAAATATATTTTATAATAAACATTGATTTTTTTTTTATGTATAAGTAGGAATCTATGACTTTTTCTTCTTTCCACTATTTTTTGAGGCATATGGACAAATATTCTTATTGAGGCATTCAGAACATTTTGGATATTGAGGTAGACAAATTTCTTGACCAAATCCTACAAGCAGATAGTTTATCTCGCTCCACAGAGATTTAGGAAGCCAATCTTCTAGCTCATTTCTTGTTTTCTCTGGTGTTTTAGTTGGCTTTTTTACCCATTCTAATCTGTTGCAAATCCTATGAACATGTGTGTCCACACCAATACCAGACACTTCTCCCCATGCAACTTGCATGCATATATGAGCCATTTTAGGTCCTACTCCTGGTAGTTCGCACAATTCCTTAATTGTTTTTGGAATATCACCATTATATTTATTTAGAAGAATAACCGATGTCCTTTTGATATATTCCACCTTCCTCTGTAAAACAATAATATATTTTTAATGCAGAAATAGATTTAAATTGAAAGATTATTATCCAAAATAAACACATGGCTGATGAGTACCTTCCAAAATCCAACTGGATATATAAGTTTGCCTAGAACATCATCAGGAGTAGCTGCTATTATATCTGGTTTACAACCATAAATATTAAGACGCTGCATAGCGGCATGTGTGACCTGATCCTTTGTTTGACTACTTAACATTAGAGCTATCAATGATTGATATCTGGATACCGATGGACTGGCATTAGGATCTGCACATTTGTGACAACCCATATCGTCAACCGGGGCTGTCTTATGCTTCCTCATTTCTTTGACATTTTTCAAAATAATCTCCCAATTCGGTGGCATCCATCGATTCTCATCCTTGATGTTATTCAAATCCACCGACTGTTCTGCATTCTCATTTTTAATTTCGCATTCTTCGGTTTTGACAGTTTTCAGCATCGATGATTCTTTGACATTTTCGCTCTTTACTTCGACAGCTGGTGCTGCAGGAGTACTTTTAACATTTGTCTTATCCTCTTCAGCATCGTACTCGATCTTGATCGGCAAACGTTTCTTCGTACCGGTTTTTGATTTCCTCTCATCATCGAAGTAAGGTGATGTTTTTTCTGAGGAGTCTGCGAGAGTTTTTCCCGAACGTAAGGCTCTCGAGGTCGAGATGACACCCAGTTTCAATCTTTTACTCATTTTATCGGGTTTGACATATCATTATCAATATTGATGTTAAACAAAATTAACTTTTTTCGCGCGATAGATAGACGCATGTGATCAGTTTCTTCCGAGAAACATGAGTTAAAGCTTGCACGTGCGCACGCGCTAATCTTGCAAAGTCCATCTTTTTTATAACCTCATCTAAAGTTCATCAGAAGCTTTGTGGTAAATTGTGTTACATAGCTTCGAGCATCTTCGCAAAAATAAGGGAAAAAGGAAAATTACGAAATACGTATGTATATGTAATATATACAACAAATAAATTTTTATTTTGTTCAATATATTAATCGAACTATCACACGAAAGATGTAATTCGAGGGTGGAGCATGTCTGTTTTGATTTTTATTATCGAATATTATGCGAATATTATAAAGGAAAATTAATTTTCTTCATCGCGTCTTTCTTGCAGAAATCGGAGAGGAATTAAATTTTAAGTGTGTGATTTTTTTCAGGATTTTGGATAGAGTGAAATAAGTGATGATTTGTGTATCAAGTGACAAGATGTCATCACGACGTATTGTTGTTGTTTTGTTACATGTGTAATTAAAGTGCATAAAATTCCTTTAATCATGAGCGCGCAGAATCAATTACCAAATCTCGACAAGATCTTTCGAGACGATGACGAGCCTGACTTTGTACCTTCAGGAGGGTACGTATATTAAATGTTTATATACACATACATACTTTATATATTATTAAATAAATTAAATTTTTAACGATTTAAATATATTAAATGTTTAATGATTTAATAATTTAATGTCTCCTACAATTGCATTTCGTCTTTTTTTTCTTGCTTCCAAAATCTGAACATAGATTTACTTTGACTGTAAGAGATAGAAGGATCTGTATAACTATGTACAATAAACAAATTTGTTTGTCAATTATTCTATTTAATTTTTAGATTTGCAAATATTTAATAAATGCCTATGCTTTATGTTATTATTTTGAATAAAATAATATGTTAAGTTTTGTTTAAATCTTTTGTATAATAAGAATAAATTTCTTTATTGTGTTTTCAGATCTAATCTGGCTGCCATTTTTGGGCTACAATCAAAACTTGGAGATTCTCAGTCTACTAAACAAACAGCTCCTAAAAAGAATAATACTCGATATAATATACAACAAACTGCACCGTCTTCTAAGACAGAAATCCTAATAGCTAAAGCTGTACATGCTTTCAAATTGTAATTATGTCTAAGTTACTTATTCTTTTGATATAATAATACACATACATGATTGTAACATTATTTATGATATTCATTTTGTGAATTACAACAATATAATTTAATTTCAGGCAAAATGGTCAATATGTTTCTATTGGAAAGCTCGGTTTAGCATTGACAGGCAATGTAACAACGAGATTATATCAGATAATTGTATACAGGAGTAAACAAGAATATGTATCTGTTGCCACAGTGACACGCGACTTTTTGTATACTGTACAAGCAAACAATTATGCCAGTTATTATGATAATAACAATGAGAATTGGTCTATTTTATTCGAGAATAATGAGAGCTATCTAGAGTTTGCAATAGAAATGGGATTAGCACGTTATTTTGCAGTACAAGAGAAAGGAGAAAGTGTGATTTACCAAGATTTAGTACCAGCAAGCAATAAAGATACAATTGCAAAAGAAGGAGACAATATATGCATCAAATATTTTGTGGAAACTGAGATAGTACAACCTTTTAAGACAAATTTTGTAATGTCGCAAATGATGACTGTAGAAATATCAACAGATGACAATTGGGAGAGAGTTCTTCTGGGTAGTAGCAAAGGTTTGAAAAGAGTTTTGTTCTTACCTCCTAGCAAACAGGTAATTTAACAAATTTTTGTGGAATACTACACGTAACAATGTTATTCATTAAATAGTTTTACACAGATTAGTTTAGGTCCTGGATTTCCAAAAGAGAGAGATATTATTCTGATAATAGAAATAAACGATATCAAAGTACCAGAAGAAAATCTGCCTACACCTAAAATTTCGACAAGTGGAAAAGCTGCCATAATATCAAGGATGGCTAAAATGGGTCAGTCTATTTTACCAAAAATGACTCTACCTTCCACTACTGATTCTGAAGATACTGAGGTATTTATATTTTTATTTCATACTTTATTTTTTATTACATTCTATTTTTTAAATAGAATTTATATTATCTCCTAATTTGAAAGAGACGATACTATTTTGTAGGATGACGTACCTCATAAATCTCCTCGCCAGAAAAGGGTTTGTGACAATTTACAAATTTTTTTGTAAAAACAAAATCTACATTTTGGTAAAATATTGTACATTCTATTAGATCGAGCAATCAGAAGGAATTTTACAAAAGAAAAATGTGCATGAGTCATCAGAAGAAGACAAAGCCATTGATAAAGTTGTGGAGCCAAGAACTGAACCTGTGCCTTCTGTAAACTTTAATACTTACAAGCCAACAGTTGCATCTCCATTAACACCACAATGGACTTCTCCATTTCTTCCTGTATGAATAGTTTTATATTTAATAGATTTATCAAATGTGAAGTGAATAGTAAAGGATAGTCAAAATTGTAGGGTCATTATATAACGATGGACAATCAGATGTATCCGATATCACAAACTGTAAATCGTACAATACCAACTCCTATAGATCCTGGAATTAATATGTTGCTATCAGAGACAAGGATAACAAATGCGGAAATACGAATGGGGATGTCCAAGATATCTGACAATGTTCAGAAATTATTAGATAAGGTATGCATATGTATAAAAGATGAATAATGAAATAATAACACAATTATTAAAATTGTTATGTAGTTCCATGCACTTGAGCTTCAAAATGCAACAACTCCTACAAGTGATAAAGCAACTTTGGATATCTCTAGGAAAATGTTTTTAACTCTTAATGCATCTCAAGCAGGTGTAAAGGAAAATGAATCATCACAGAGTACTGATAAAAATATGTTAAATGAAATAATTTGGGAAGCAGTACAGAGCAAAATAAGTGCTTTGGAAGATCATTTAAAAAAAACAAAAGGTATAACGATCATCTGAGATAATAGATATAATAATAGTTAAATAATAATAATATCAGAATGTGCAATTTATATCAATTTAATAATTATTGAATTATTATGTTATGATTATTAAATTGTTATGTTGTTACAGAGGAAAATGAATCTTTGTTTAAAATTAATGAGAATATGATCAGAACATTGCAAAAATATGAAACGAAACTAAGCAATACAAAGGACGAGTTGAAAAAAAGCAAGGAAGCCTTAGAAGAAGCTCAAAATACAATTAAACAATGTAAAGAAAAAAATGCTAGTTTAGAAAATAGGCTTTCTAATAAAGAGCATTTTTGCCAATCTGATGCACATCTGATGACATCTTTGAGACAACAAGATGTAATGCTGATTATACATTTTAAAAATTGTATATCATTCTTTATTATTATTTATATCAATTCTTTATCAATTCATTGACATATTATTTATTTAATTTGCAGAAAAAGAACAAAGAAATTAAGCAAATAATGAACAAAACGTATCATACATTATCAGAAAGATTCGCGGATGAATCATGTTCTGAACTATCCTTTGATTATGTAAAGGCAACTATTGCAAGCACAATAAAGGTATAAGAGAAATGTGTAATATTAAGTACTTATAATATTATGTTAATGTGTTCTCATTAAAATTTTGTGTTTAGCACATTACTTTAGAAGTATTATATGAAGACTCTGATGAAGAAGATGTAGAATCTAAGATAAATAAGACTATAGATTCTGCAGTCAAAACTATTAATCAACAACAAACTGATTGTGAGAGAGTATTAAACGCACCTAGTGATAATGATCTCACGGTAAAACGAACCGAAACTTCAAGATCTACGGTAATTGCTATTAAAAATTTATATGTATTATATGAAACTTTCTGAAAGAAGTAATTATTTTTTTTTATCATTTTCATCAGATCATGCCTGTATTTGAAAACGAACCACCACCTGTTCCACTAGATGGCATCGATGAAGTTGATAGTGACTGATTGGTTTTTAATGTTGATTTTTTAATTTGTTATTATTTCATGCTCCAAAAAAATATTATATATATATGGAGGCCAGCTAAGCATTTTTACCCAAAGAATAGATCTTGTTTAGGAAATACATATATATATGTATATTTTCTCTTTCGTATATATACACACATTTCATCTTTTTAGTTTATATACATATATATTATTCTAATATACATATCTTCTAATCCTTGTATTATTAAATCCAAGTAAAATAAGTAAAATACAGCTTTTTGTATAAGTTAAATATAATTTTAAAATTTAATAAAAAGATATTTTTACTATCAATATCTGCAGTATCACATATTTTTGTGGCGTATTTATTTTAGTAATATAGCGCTAGTGATAGTGATGGTACAAGTGATAGTAATGAAACAAGGAAAAAAATAAATAATTTATATGGATTATATAGGAATTTCTCAAAATAGGTAAAATTACAATATAAAAATAGGTAAAGTTACAATTATCTACAAAAATATTCTTTCATATATATTGTATGCACGAAATTTGATGTAAAATTAACTTACAGTTAAGATAATGATAATATTTACTATTACTGTTTGCTAATGTATGAAAGATTAATCTCTGCTTTAATTTGTTTTGCCTGATCCATCAAATTTTTAATATTTTTTGTCCTGTACAAGAAAAAAGAAAATAATTACTAATATTACATATATAATAAATACTTATATATTATGTGGAATATTACTATATTCAAAGGCAATGTCTATACGTGATAAGTTTGAATCAATCTGGTTTTTGAAAATTGCAAAATTTTAAATAATTGCTGTATTACTTACATTTGAGAAAGAGTCTCCTTTGTTGCATTCTCTTGGCTTTGTGTAAAAACAATTTCTTTTCTTTTTTCATTAGATTCAGTAGCGTCTGCATGTTTAATCTGTTGAACAGATTTTTTCTTTAGTTGTTCAAGTCGTATTTGCATGTCATGTATCTTTATGCTCATTTTCTTCAATTCTTCTGCCTCTGCTCGCTCGACAGCAGTCATTGTCGGTTCCTTGTAATTTACCAGTCTTAGAGCTTCCTCTGCTCTGAAAACAATAATTTATATATATATATATATAATTCACAACAAGCTTGATAAAAACTTCTATTTTATTTACTTTGAACATAAATGATAACTATAGTTCTTCAAAATTGTTTTACTAGAATATATTATTTATATAAAAGTATACTCACCTACGCGCTAATTCTTTCTGCTTATCATTAATATCTTCGTATCGTTCGGCTAAACGTTCGGCAGTGTGCCGTAATTCTTTTTTAGTTTCCATTAAAGTAACGAGTTCTTTGAACAGATGAGTTTTCAAAGCTTTCATAGCGCGGACCTTTTTACTGATTTCTTCCCGAACTTTGTCATGTTGAACAAAATGTTGAGTGCGAAAGATATTTGTAGCGTGATACAAAAACTATAATTGTAAAAAAAGAAAAACATGTGAATTAAATGTGATTTTCGATTATTATTTAATTATAATTCTTTTATTTTATAACTTTTGTATTTTTGAGATGTACGAGACAAAAGTTTTTAAGTATTCTTAATAACTTCTATCGATCATCAAGATTATCAATTATTATAATAGATTTCTATACTTTATTTGTTTAGGGATTGCCTACCTCTAGGGATTCGCTCAAAGACATCGAGCGAGATCCTATTTTTGTTATGGGTTGTGATACTTCGCGCCTTAGTAATCTTTTAATATACATGTCAAACGGTTCCTTATTCACCTGAAAGAATCGATAATATATATTAACAATATTCTCACCGATTAATTAATACTTTGACGTCATTGTTTTACTCGAAGAAACATGAGAATAAGAAAAAATACGAGAATAAAAAATTAAAGTTATGAAAATAAAGTTTAGAAATTTTAAAGAAGCGTTATTTATTGTAACAATATAATATATTGATAATTACCTTTTTCGTAGTATTGGCGATGGGTTCTAATTGTTCGATCCTTGGGAGATAATAAAGATCTATAACCGAAAGATCGATCACGATGCCTGTGTGCAACAATGCGATTAAAATACAAGGTTCTTGAAGTAGACCAAAACCGAGTATCGGTGTAGCCTCGTCTACGCTCGTATGTTTTGTTCTCGTAGAGAATAAATATTGCAAAGTTGATTGGTTTGACAAAGATAGTAAATAATTTTCGTTGTTATCTAAAAAAAATTTTGTTGTTAAACGAAAGAAATATCACAAAGAATATAATCGATAGAGAAACAAAATCAAACTCTATGATTTTTTAATTTTTTATTTAAAAAACAAAACAATCTAATCAATCATCATATCAAAGAAATTTAAAAAATACAGACAGTTTGTTAAAGTTTATTTTAAAAAATTGTACAACTTTATAAGGTTTTGTAAGGCTTATAAGGCTTTATAAGACACGAACTAGAAAATGTTAATTTTATTTATTTTTTTTCTTTTCTTTCTCTATCTCTTTTTATTATTCTTCTCTCAGTAATATATAAATATACTTGCCATGTATAAATTCCTCTAGTTGAGAGACCATCGGTAAACTCACCATGTGAATCCCGGCATTATGAGAGCAAAAATATCTAAAACAAGTAATAAATAATTTATTCAATTATAATTTATTTAATTATACAATAATAAAATCAACAATTTTTTGATCGAAATATAATGCGTCTTGTGTCTTGGAAATATCTATTTTATCATAAATAAATTGATTTTTGATTAAATAATGTATAGATAATAAAAATTAAATTTTAAATTATAAATATTCTATATAATATTAATGTTTTTTTTCTAGATTAATACCTCGATTTGTTGCCCTTATCAGAATGAAGATGGATAGGACAATTATACTTTTTATCTTCATCCGTGAAGAGGAGACCAAGTTCCAGTTCGACACATTCGTAAACATAAAGTGCGTCGTCGGGTGTGTGAAGACTATAAGTTGAACCATACTGCGACCAAGTCTGAGAAAGAGATGCACAAGAAATAAATTTCATTTATGTCTTATGTTTAGAAAAAGATATATACATACATATATACCATATATATATGTGTGTGTGTGTGTGTGTGTGTACGCGTGCGTGCGTGCGTGTGCATATATTCTGTTTTAAATCATTCATGTTGCGCGCTAATTTAGTTTGTTCATAATTAATGAGATGTATTAACAAAAATATCGTATATGTATAATTATATATACAGATATGTATTGTTAATATTTATTATACCTTTCTATCGGCCTTGTCGTCCTCGTCGTTCAATATTTCGCGCAATAGTATCGCGTGATAAATCTTTCCAGTGCACATGGCGATGATCACTATTGGCGGGGTAGTTTGCAGACACATGATAGAGCATGAATCTATTCCGTAATTATCGTCGGCCGGCGGATACATAGACAACGAACCTAGTACCACTGGATCCTCGTAGCTATCCAACAATTAAAGCCATCAGTCAAAAAAGTTATCACATTATTTACTTATATTAGTTTGTTATTTTAGATTCGCTAATAGTTAATGCTCTTTTGTCGCTAAATTTGGATATCATATATATATATATATATATAATATTTAATATTTAATTCGTACTTTTCCAATAAGATGTTCCCATAAACGATTAGCACTTCACCGTTTCCTCGGAGAACCAAGATCGGCCATTCGATCTGATTCCAGTCGACTGTGTCTTTTATCTAAAAATTATTAACAATACATTCTGCAGTGCACTGATCTTAAATACAAAAAGATTAAAAAACTAGTATTAACAATGATTTAAATCTATATTTCTTCAAAGATTTGAGAATACAAATTTTCTTTATTTTTTAAATATTCAATATTTAATATTAAATTAATCCACGTGCAATAAAAAAGTTATTATCAATTTCAAAAGCAAGCTTGTTTTAATATTTAAATCTACGAGCAACAAAATTCATAATTAAATGCATCATGTTCCTAGATATCTATTATTTTGAATTTTCATTAAATTATGACTTATTTTGCATATAACGAATAAAAGTAAAAATTTTACAGAGATGTTGGCTTGTACCTCGTTGATGCTTTTATAGGCGAACATATCCGGCTTTCTTAGGGTAGGAGTGGCAAAATCGAAATCCACCGCAGTCTCACCAAGGGATGCAAAACCCGGGATCTTCGAAGGCGGGCTCGATGGTGCACGGCCGACCTTCCAGCAATTTACGAGTCTGGGTGCACCACCCAGGTCGCACTCGTACAAACTGCAAAGTTAAGTGCAGCTTAAGGTCAATCCGACGACAGTTTTTTTTTAAAGACACTTCGGCGCGGCGTATAAAGCCTTCTAAAGTATAGTTTGTAAATGTTTTTCTTATTCTTAAGAAAGCCTCCCTTCCCTTCGTTCCATCATCTAACGCAAAAAGTTAAAAACGCGAATTTAAGTTATGTCACATTGTACTTTCGGAGAGTTTCGCAGTTTTCTGTAATTATAATGACAGTTTTTGCGAGAAAGATACTGCTTGCGCGGCTGAAAGATGAAATATTTTTGTTTCTAACATATCGTATAAACATATGCATACATACAATTGATAAGGTTGATGATAAGATGATGATAATAAATAATAACTCTCTATAAAGATTGAAATAAAGATTTTGTAGTTGAATAATTCAGTTAGAAAAAAGTCGCATGATTTTTTTTAATTACCGAAAAGAGTTCTCTGATGTCAAAACCAATAGATGCGAGTCATTCGGAGAACCCGGATGCCATCGTGTTCGTCGAATTTCCGCGCTTGCTCCAAAATCTCCAAAATTATGATTTCTGTAATCAGAAAATAAAAATAATGAGATTACGACATTTTCATAATTACGTTATATTATTTTTATTATAAAAATTAATAATTGTTCGCAATTTATTAATCACTAACGCAATGTAAAATATAAGAAAGAGTAAATTTTATTCTCTTATTCACACTTTGCTTTTTCATTTTCTATGATTATAGCAGTAAGATTTCGTATAACTAGTATTTAAATTCAGAAATATATGTTCAAATTTTTTTCACTCTTAGTTTAAGATGGAATAAGTTCATAAAAAAGATTCTTGGTCAAACAGATATTTTAAATACTTCTACGTATAATATTATAAGATAAATTTTAATTTAAAATATAACTGATTGACTCTACTATTATACTGATTTTTTTTAGTAAGATTTCACTGTTTTGTACAATAGTATTATACTATAACTGCATAATTTTATTTAAGAGAGTTATAACAGTAATACGTATCTATTATTTTCCTGTAATTAATTAAAAAAGAATTAAAAGATAGATGTTGACCTTTTAAAGTTTGTTATATGTGAATAGAACAAAAGAAAAAATATGCATAAAATTGCGCGGATATGAGACATCGATCCAAGCTCTGGATTCGCGCCTAAGCAAAGAGAGGCGCATTCGACCGTGCGGATGAGCATTAATGGCTTTATAATCTAATGAATTTTTAGGTTAAGCGTCGGGAAGGACGAGCGGGAAATCCAGATAGGTTTTTCCCCGGGATTTATTGCCGAGAAAGAAAAGACGGGGGATACGAACGAGTCGCGCTTATCTCTCGCGTTCGTCGGTGCCTTCCGACCGATGGGTAACAACCAAATTTATCCCCATCAAAGTAATAATAATCATTTGACTGCGAGAAAATATTCAGATCTTGAATTAGATTCTGTTTCCCTTTTAATTTTTCAGGATTTTCACTTTTACTCTCAAAGGATCTTTTTTAAATTACTTTCTTTAGAGAGGGCATGTCTAAATAAGTGCGAAAAATTTATTTTTATTTCATTTTTTATTGTTTTATTTTTAGAGTATACGTTTATACAAGAAACCCTCCCTTAAATCGACAAAGAATTATCTCCTAAAATTTTTCGCCCTTATTTAGATCCTGTATATGTCTTATGTCATTTTTAAAATATGTAAAGTTTGTGTTTTTAAATCTGTTGTTCTCAAAACGCAATCATTAGTTTTTATTGTCGAGATGATCTTCTGAATTAAGTGACTGTATGATCTCTTTCTTCAAAGGACGTTAAGCTATGCTTAGTTAGTCCGAATGTGTAGAGTCCATAATCGTTTACGCTCTACGTAGACTCTATTATTTAATTCGCTCATTTATGAAAAAAAATTACGTAATTCGTCTCGGAATCTTAAGTGAGAGAGGGTGGACGGAGAAAGCGGAGCCTGCGGAAGGAACAGCAGTGACTTAAACGCAATAACGAATAATACGGCAGGGAGGTTCCTAGAGAATAAAATGATACGACATACCGTATAAGATCTCTCTACTTTGAAGTCAGGTCTGTGCCGTTCTTTGTACAAATTGCGAGAAAAGCGCAGCGCAAAAAGCGCGTCTACCGCCACCGGGGTTAATACGTTTACGTAGGAAAATTATTTTTAATTTTTCTAGACGTGCCCCTCGGACGGGAAAAAGAGAGAGAAAGAGAGAGGGTGTGGCAGAATGCGCGGCACTGCCGTGTAAGAATTTCTTAATTAGATTCGAGCAGCTGCACGGCCTCTCGTTCTTTTGTTTCGGCGAAAAATTTCCGGTAAGTCGCGATGGCGAGATCAGGTCAGGAATTCGTACTTTATTAGATGCTTCGGCCTGGATTCAAAAGAGCGAGTCTGTAGATTGCTTTTCATATTTTCTTTTCATTTCTTCGATCGCAAAGTTTCGAGATCAATTGATTTCCCGATTTCTATTTTTATATTTAGATAATCATTTTTCTTTTTTTTCCAATGCGACGAAGCATCAATGACATCTCAAATGGTATAAAAATCTAAAAATTGAAAAACAATCCTGTTTTCGCTCCAATATAAGTATTTCGAAGACAATATTAAAGTGTTAAAAATTGTTTTCATATATTTTTATCTATATAGTGTATTAATATTAAAATTTCTTAGATAGAAACCTTTCTTTTTTTTCCAACGCGAGGAACACATTAATGATATCTTAAATTGTGTAAAAGTCTAAAAATTGAAATCCTATTTTTGTTTGCTCCAATATAAGTATTTCGAAAACAATACTAAAGTGTTAAAAATGAATTTCATATATTTTTATTTATATTACATTCACGAATGTGCGCAATATTAAAATCTCTTGCGCAGAAACCTTCCTTTTTTTCTAATGCGAGGAACATCAATGCCATCTCGAATGGTATAAAAGTGTAAAAATTCTGAAATCCCGTTTTTTGCTCGAATGCAAGTTTATTTCTAAAACAATACTAAAGTGTTAAAAATAGATTTCATATATTTTTATCTACACTACATTCACGAATGTGCGCGATATTAAAATCTCTTAGAGAGAAACATATTTACTTGATTTAATAATACAAATGACCCGAAATGGATATTTATGCGATACACTCTCTTGAAATCTTTTTTCGGTGGATTCAGCGTCAACGCGAATATCGAATACGCAAACGGGGGTTGCGAGAGCACCCTTAAATGCGTTGGTCCTGTTTGCCATTCATTTTATTTAGGAATATATTCAACGCTCCATCGAACGGGAGCATCTCCGCGGGCGCCGCATCGCGGTGTAATCAAGACAGCTTAATACCTATCAGAAATACGCGCAGCTAGAAGGGGTATAGGCATAAATTCTGATAATTTCGAAATTGTGACAGAACGAAGAAAAATCCTCGGGAGAGAGGTCGCGGCGCGAAAAGTGCGAATAAATCGTTGCGTATGCCTTTGTCAACGAAACGGCGAGTACAGGAGGGTTGGTGCTCGCTGGGGTGAGAGAGAGTCACACAACCACAACCACCACCACCACCACCATCACCACCACCAGCAGCAGTGTCTGGCCCTTTTTTTTCACCCTATCTCTTCCCCTCGTCTCTCTCTCTCTCTCTCTTCGCCGGGTGCGTGCGTACATTTTTATCAATTATTAAGAACTCCTGGCTCGCGCTTGTGCTGGTTGGCGGTCGTGTCGCCGTTCTGCGCGGGACGTATGTACTAACGGGGGTGTATAACCCGGAGAACGTTGTGTGCCGGTGATACCCGATGCCCACTGTCTTTTTCTCTCCGGAATGCCCGGGACCTTTTGCTCACTTTTTCTGGCATGCCGCGGACATTAATAACGGCCACGGGCTAACCACCGCCGTCAACCCCCTTGCCAACGTTACCGTGTCCACAGCCGCGGAAAGTGCGAGAGTAATAATAAAATATACGAAATGTAGGCGAGAGAGTATCTCGTTGTGCGAGCGCGAGCGGCCGGGCCGAGAGACCGACAAAACAAACGTCGCGACGTTACGGTGTACCTTTCATTGTCCGCGAAAAGGTACGCGGATCTCCTCGCGTTATAATAATTTAGAGCGACGCTGCGCGAGCCCTGATTTTAGCTTAATAGAACGCCGCCCCGGTAGATTCGGCCGGGGCTCGCCGCGTCGCGTTGCTTCGCGTGTTTCTTCTCGCGAGAGATTGTCATTATTCTCGCGGAGACCGGACAATTTCAACCTACCGCCGACGCGAAATTATCACGATTTGCGTGCCGGATATTCGGGATATAAAGATGTCATTCTTAGAGGATTGATACGTGCATACATAAACTTTATCAATTCATGCATATTATTTTTTTATTGCATGTTAAAGGACCCCGTACAAACTGTTTTTGTATTTCGGTGGAATTTTGGCTGATTTTTTCATATGCTGTAGTTTATGATCTGCTGAACAAAAGATGTAATATGGGTAAATGAATAATTACTGAGCTACAAACAATTCGTGTTTGACTGACTGTAAATTATAACTGTTTATTATTTAGCTTTGAGCCTGTTACATTTTTTTCGTTCAGAATATCATGTGAGAAAACCAACTGATTTATTGGGATTTGATTTCATTTAGAATTTCATATAGATTCAAAAACCCTATGCGCTACTCTTATATAATATTAAATCTTGGTTCAAAGAATTCTAAATAATAGATATATACAGAGAGAATTTTCTCTTAGAATTTACTCTGAAAATCATGGTAATCGTGAGACAATATGAAAGAATTTTATAAGAGTTTCTCTGATTAATATTTATTACAGTAAAAATATTCATATCTATCAGATATATAAAGATATATAAAATATGTTCGATTAATATTGCTATGTACATATAAATATTTTTTATCGTGTGTTAAATATTAATCAGAAAAACTCTTAAAAAATTCTAACAATACCATGATTTTCAGGATAAATTCTAAGAAAAAATTCTCTCCATGTAGTTACTGATTTACAGTTATTCGAACACGAAAAATTTGGGCTTTACGAATTGTTTGACTGATTGTCACTCAGTAACTGTCCACTATTTAGTTCTAAAGCTATTACATCTTTTGTTCAACAAGTCACAAGCTACAATATATTTAAAAAACCGATCAATTCCATGGAAATCCAATTTTCACAAGGCTTGTGCCGGATCCTTTATATATATATAAATGTCATTAAAAAAAAGAGCTAAAAAAGAAATAATTATGTAAATAATTTTGTAAATTTTTAATGTCTTTGCGTTAATTTAGAGACGCAGGGCAACCCTACGTTACATCTCGTTTCAGGCAGAATTTCGATGAAATAGAAATTTGTAATGTTCGGCCGTGTCACGTGCGACTTTTACATTGACGTGCATTCTTTATACAGCGATTATGTACTTCAAACTCCCACGGGGACAACGTTTCAGCTTAATTCCGCCCGGCATGCCCGTAACGGGCGTAATATCGTTCAGTTACTTGGAATATTTTTATTACATCCTCGCGGTCGGAGGACGACGGAGTTGGCGGGATCCGCCAGGCTATGCTCACGATATAACG